GTGGTGGCGCACGCCTTTAATCCCAGCACTTGGGAGGCAGAGGCAGGCGGATTTCTGAGTTCGAGAGTTCGAGGCTAGCCTGGTCTACAGAGTGAGTTCCAGGACAGCCAGGGCTACTCAGAGAAACCCTGTCTCGAAAAACCAAAACAAAACAAAAAAAAAAATAATGGCAATTAGTATATAATGGTTTTATTCTATATAGTGAATAAATGGTCTTATAATTTTTAATGTAGTAACTATAAATATATAATAAACATACGCAAAAGCTTCTTGGGATCCCCAAAAGCTTCTTTAAAAATTATATTTGTTTATAGAGGTACACACACACACTCAAGTGAGTGTGTGGAGGTCAGAGAACAATTTGCAAGAGGCAGGTCTCTCCTACCACGTGGGTATCAAGACTTAACTCACGTCATTAGGCTTGGCAGCAAGCGCCTTTGCCCAGAGAGCCATCATCTCACTAACACACAGTATAAAAGGGTCCTGAGATTTAAAATTCTCAGAACCATGACACTACATGCTAACATGAGGTGGCAGGCTTTCCTCCAGGATTATAGACAATTCATGTTCAAACACAACATGTTAAAGACACAACACAGAGAAGGCCCAAGGCCACAGCCCTCATTCATCCTCTAACCCTCAGAGCACACTGAGCGTGACCAACGTGTGAAACCAAGTGGGACTGGTCAGAGCCACTTCAGTCGTTCATCCTGAGTTTCTCAGTGACGATGGAAAGGAAACGGGAGAAATCCAGGCCTTGGAAAATAGAGCTCAGGCCTGAAGCACACATTGCGTGCTACTCCCTTGTGACTCCACAGAGTGAGAGCAAGTGTAGTGGGCAACTGTGGGTCCCATGCTGGATTCCCAGAACCTAGGAGGTAGTGCTGGTTGGGGGGCTGCCTGGCTAGGGAGTGAGACCCTGTCTCAAAAAGAAAGAAAAAAAAAAAAAAGGAAACCAGAAAAGGTTAAGGTCACGCAGAAGAGAAAACAAAAATATAGGAACTAGACCTACCTGTCCACTCCATCCCAGCGATACCCGGGCCAAATGTTGAATCTATTGGGAGGAGGAGCAGGACCGCTGTAGCGAGGCCTCACTAAACACAAGAATGAGAAAAAGGAAATGAACTACTGAAACAATTCAATTCAGGGCTAGATGGCTATGGGAGAAAATCGTTCATGGAAGTTCCTATTATTTTGATCCAAACTTCCAAACACAAGGGCATTACAGTAGGTGAGGGGCAGCCTTCTCTGGGAAAAGCTAAGCACAGCAGTCTGACAACTCTCTCAGGCACCTCCGGTTCCAGCAACCCCATGCGCACCCTTCTTATTCTTGTTCTCCTTAGCCTTATTCTTCTTAATAAACTTGGCCATCGGGTCCCCTTCTCTTTCTTGTTCTCTCAGCATCCGATCCAGATCTTCGTCATCTATGTAGCGGGCCAGAGGCTTCTGCATCTCCTTCACCGCATCTTCTACGTTCTGTTGCTGCTGCCGACTCTGGGCAAGCCTGGGCAAAAAGAAGCATCCTGGTTGAGAATTCCCTCCTACACTAAGAGACCACAATGCTGCCCTGGAAGATTCCCTCTGTAGGAGCCCCAGAATCCCGACTGGGGTCTTGAACCCACCATCTCAAGAGACTGTGCACTTGAGGCTCACCCCGTATCAGCTTCCAGAAACACAAGGCAATGGCTGGCTCTGGTCCTGCAGTCCAGCTTTGTGCTCAGGGGCACACTTACCCTTTCCCCCACTGGGCATACAGCTCATCTCGCTCTGAGTCTTTCTCTGCTTTTCTCCTCTGTTCCAAGCGCTCCAGCTTCAGATTTCTCTTCCGACCAGACTTGTCTCGAAATACAGTTTCAGTGAACTCAAACTGAGCTATGAAGGAAAAATCACATTTTAAAGATACATACCAGGCATCACAGTCAGAAATAACATTCTAGCACTAGGAACCAACTGCTTGGGATCTCTTGCTGGAAGAATTCTGAGACAGAGAACAGTGGCTCCTACCAACATTCTTTCACACTGGGAAGGAAAGTAGTGCTTGCACTACTGACGTTAGGGTACTGCAGAAAAGCAGAGCAGAGACATAGAAGCATTCCCCTAGCAAATATGACAAGCAACACACAACAGAAAAGAGAGCTACAGGAGCTGAAAGTGGCCTACGCACACCCATATTTGTACCTCCGAGGTCAGTGGTGTCTTGGTCCTGTTTCTTGAGTTCCTGGTGCTCCCGTTGAACATCAGTGACCAACCCAGTTTTTGTTCCGGAATACATGTGTGGAGCCTGTACAAGAGAAGAGGAATACAAGTATACAGTCTGTGTAAGCGGAATACAAGTCTGCAGCCTGTGCAAGAGGAATACGTGTGTGAAGTCTGTGCAAGAAGAATACAAATGTGCAGCCTGTACAAGTGCAATACATGTGTGCAACCAGTACAAATGGAATACAAATGTGCAGTCTGTGCACGGGGAATACAAGTGTGCAACCAGTCCAAGTGGAATACAAATGTGCAGTCTGTGCACGGGGAATACAAGTGTGCAACCAGTCCAAGTGGAATACAAATGTGCAG